ATGCAATAATTGTACTTTAAAAGTAATGTTAATGAATTTAAAAAGAATGAAAAAATAGAAAATTTATATTATTTTAATTATTAATTTTTAAAAAGATAAATATTTTAAAATAATAAAAAACAAAATAAAAACTAATATTTAAGACGGAAGGAGTATTAATTTTGAAAGTTTTTTTTATGGAAAATGAGTGAGAGCACTAATTAGTGCTATCACTAATGATGTGGCAGTGGGTCCCACCAGGAATGATTTGATGTTTTGGTCTTGGTGTTGTATTTTTTTTCTTTTTTTATTGAGTGCCATGTCATTAGTGGTCTTTTTAGAGCTCCAAAATTAGTGGTCTCTATCATTGTTGTTTTTTTATAACCCATACAATTTGGAGCTTGTAGTTAAAGCAAATTGTTTTTGCTAGATTTGCGCGAAGAAACTTTCTAGAGCTTTATAATATTTTTTTTTAAGTATTTATTTTATTTTTTATCATTTATGAGAGTTTTTTTTTTTAAAAAAAAATTAATGATTCTTTAGGCAAAATGATTTAAGATAAATTATAAGTATATCTTTAATATTTGCTTAAAATATGAATTACCGTTGTGATTTGAAAAATTATAAATACTCCATTGCTATAATTTTTTATTAGCAAAATAAAATAAAATAAAATTTCTTACTACTTTTCTATGCAATAATAAAATTATTTGAATTATATTGATTGAAATAAATTTATTATATTATTAAAAACTGTTAATTAATTTGATAATTTATTAATAAAATAAATAATTTGTTATGAAATTATAAATTTTATGAGAAGAGATACAATTTTTAAAACCATAAAGGACATTCGTATTTTAGGTAAATATTAGGAATATATTTATGATTTACCCAACGATTTATTATGGACCTTCAATAATAAACATAAAAATTAGTTATTTAATTTATATTGAGTAGGTCATTTAAAAAAAATGCATTGACATTTAATTTATTTACAAAATAGTTATTTATTAAGTCTTGGTACTCGGCCCAATGTTAAGCTCACTCCGAGGTTGGGCTAGGTTGGAGCTCGGCTCTATGGCTAACACCTACTCCGAAGTAGGACAATTACTGGAGTTCAGCCCAATGTATGAGCGGCACTCCAAAGTGGATACTATGAAGCTTGGCCCAACGTGCAAGGCTTGCTCCGAAGTGAGCCGAGCAACAAGTTGTACTTTAAGGATGGGCAACCATTCCGAAGGACTTTCTTAGGCTCACAAGAGACAAACAACTCTTATCTTCTCCTTTAATTGAACAAAACATGGAGCGCAAAGGAACAAGAAGGACACATGACATATTTATATCTGATTATCAGGCGAAGTGGTTGTGTTCCTCCAATGGGAGACGACCACAAATAAGATAAATGAGACAAATGGCAGAGAGAGAAGGTCTTGAAAGACAAGCAGCCTTCTCCTATAAAAGGTGAGTACAATTCATCCTCAAGGGATTCGAAATCCACACACTCTTTGTATTCTCTCTTCTTCTTCCTTTCCCTTAGTCCCTAACTTTACCATCGGATGGATTTTTGACCAAATCTTTGTCAGGCAATCTCATTGTTTGTTACTCTGTGTAGGTCTTTAATTCTCAGAGCATTTTGTTGTTCCATGAAATTCAATCCTTCCTCATAGTGGGGAAATCACCCTTATTTAGGAGTGTTTTGGAAAGTTAGTAAAAAGTTAATTTTTTGACTTTTTGACTTTTTTGATAGCTTTTTTTGGCAAAAAATTGGATTCTTTTGAATAAAAAGAAATTGAATTTTTTGGTTAAAAAAATTAAAAACTCAAAAAATTGACTTTTTTAGTTTGTTACCAAAATGCTCCTTAATTTGAAAAGGTGGCTATTATATATATAGTCACACGGTATAAAAGGTTAGTAAATTTAAATTAAAGGCTTACCAAAAAAAAAAATTTAAATTAAAGAAAATTGCAATTCAATATTAGTTTTCAAGAAAAAAAATTCAAATCAATAATAATTTTAATAATTAAAGCTATAATTTTTTTATTATAAATTTATAAATATTTTCTGCAAAAAATCTTTACTAATTTGCAATTTTCCCGTTAAATTATTTCAATAGACTTGCGTCACGTATAAGTTTATAATAAATTAGTAAACTTATTATATCTTTTGCAATTTAAATTTTCCCGTTATATAAGTTTTCAAAAAATCTTCCCGTTATATAAGTTTGCAATTTAAATTTTCCCGTTACTAATTTTCCCGTTAAATTAGTAAACTTATCTTCTGCAAAAAATCTTTACTAATTTGAAATTTTCCCGTTATATAAGTTTTCCCTTCGCTGACACCTAACTTATGATTGCGGAAGGGATTGTTTGCGTTAATCTACAATAATCTTTTTATATTTTTTTATATTTTTATTTTATTTGAGCTATATATATATATATATATAATTTTTTTTTTATTTGAGTCATATTATCTCTATATAACTAATTTGCAATTTATTTGAGCCATGGTGTGTGGGAAGTTTGTGTGTTGGGTTTTTTTTGATTTTTTATACTAAAAGATGAACTTTTTGTAAAATCAAAAAAAATAAATCTAAACAAAATATCACATTCAATCTTATAATCATTTCACTTTTTTCCTCACAAACAATCACAAAAAAACTCACCTATCTTCCCAAACACCAAAATTTTTTTGTCCAGTAATATTCTACAACTAAGAAAACCTACATAAAAATCTACTTCTCATACACCCACTATTATATTGCATATTTTTTCATAAAAAATTAAAAAATATATTTATTTAAATTACCCTAAACAATACTAAGGAGTTGTTTGAAAAGTGTACAATTAGTATATTTTTTAATTTTTTACCAAAAAAATAGGAATTATGAATTAAATTTAAAGTGATATGATAAATAAATAATGTGACCTAAATATAATAATTATAACATAAATAAAATAATATGTTAAAATAACATGTGTTATTTTAATACATTATAAACAAAACTGTGCTGTTTGGTAACATTTAAGTTTTCTGTTTTCTATTTATATTTACAAAAATTTTAAAAACTCAAATAAAAATTTGTTTGGAAAATTTTTGATTTATAAATCAGTGGTCTCAGTTTATAAATTTATCCAAAAAATGTAAATTCAAAAAATGTGTTTCCGTTTTGAGTTTTGAGTTTTTTTTTTTTACCACCCAAACACTAGCCACACACACTAGCCACCACCTGCCCCCATTTTCCACCATCGTCTTCCGCCGCCGCCACCACCCACCACCACCACTCACTACCCACACCTGCCACCACCACCCATCGCCACCACACCCACTCCTCGTCACATCACCAACCACCACCACTATCCTGCCATCCACCCGCCACTACCATAGCCACCGCCGCCACCACCACTCACCACCCACCTGCCACCACCATCCACTACCCGCCCAGACGACAGCCATCCTGCCATCCACCCATACCGCCACTACCACCCACCCACCCCACCACACTACCACCACCCGTTGCCACCAACCCACCCCCACCATTACCACCACCAATCACCACCTGCCCACCCTGCCACCACCACCCACCTGCCACCCGTCACCCATCGACCACCGGCCGCACCCCATCATCCGTCCACCCCATCTGCCCACTTCCCATACCACCGCCCACCAACCGCCACCCGCCACCCCGCACTCCCAACCCCCACCCCATCTCAGCTACCACCCTTCAAACCATCACGCCACCCACCCACCCACACACCACCACCTACCTGCCTACACCCCCTATCCGCCAGCCATCTACCACCCACCCACCAGCACCACCCCCCACCCACCACCTAGTACCCCGCCACCCACCCACCCACCCCACCATTACACCCGCTACCTACCCGTCATCACCACCCACCCGCCACCACACCCACCACCACCGTCACCGCCACCCACTTGCCACCACCACCACCACCCACCTACTCGCCACCTACCCGCCACCACCCGCCATCCGGCACCCACCTGCCACCACCACCACCCCACTCGCTACCACCTACCACTCGCCATCGTCACCCACCCACCACTACCACCACCACCACCCGCCACCACCCACCGCCACCCGCTACCCACCAACCCATCATCACCACTTTCCTAACCACCGTCTTCCGCCGCCATTTTCCATCACTTGCCATTTCTCACTCTTTTTTATATTTTAAATTTTTTTTAAACATTTTGTTAATTATCAAACGCGTCTGTAGTTTATGTTTTTCTAAAAATAAACAAAAAATAAGCAAAAATCAATTTATAAAATTTTTAAAAATATTATTTAAAAACGTAAACGTTATCAAATAGACCAAACATAAATCACAACCCGAATCTAGGATTTGGCTTATTATCAAGCCAAATTAATATTGACTCGTAAAGTGCAGGAAAAATAACATATTTTAGATTATGTTTGGTATATTGCATTTAGAATAAAATAATTATAAAAAGATAAAATGTAAAATGTCATGTGGAAAATTACACTGACATCCCTTGAGGTTTATATTTATTACATTTCTCCCCTCACATTTGAAAAATTACATTGACCCCTTGTTAATTTAATTTTATGTATATGATCATTACGGTGAGGGGAAATTGTTATTAAACTTTAAACCTCATGAGGCAATTTGTAATGAAACTTTAAACCTTAGAGAAGGGAATGTAATTTTCAAAAAGTGATGAGGGACTGTAATAAACAATAAACCTCAGGGGGTGTCAATGTAATTTATTCTAAAATATATAATTATCAAATGAGACCTAAAATAATTAAAAAAATTAAAAAATCAATTTACATTACAAAGGAAGGCTTAGAAAGAAGTCCCCAGGTGGTTTGAAATAGTCTAAATAAGTGCAATGATAAAGAAGTGATATGTCTTAAATAAAATAATAATTTTTTTACATTTAAACTTTTTCGTATTATGATAAACAAGGATTACACTACGTACAAAACAAAACTCGATTTTAAAAGTTGTCTATAAATTGCAAGCAAAACGGTGAACCTTGGCCATATTCATACAAAGTTCCGAATTTCAACTTGGGCAGAGGCTCTCTCACTGAAGGCCGTGGTAAAAATGGTGTCACGCTGGTTCATTCTAATGGCAGTTTTGCTCTTCTGTGTCACTCAGGTATACACACACAAAGACAGAGAAAGAGAGTATGACTGCCAGTGCTAGTGGTAGTGCTCTGTTATTCGATTCTGAGAACCACTTATACATTTCAAAATAGATAACAACTCAACTTGTGTTTATTTTAATGTCTGCAGGTATCATCGGACGCAGAGATTGAAGAACACCAAACCCAGGTTTCATCTTCATCATCACCACCTCCACAACGTTATTATTATTATTAATGTTATGTACTTCTATATAATACACATATATTTTGTTCTACTGTCCTAGAGTATATATATTATAGTATGCTGTAATATCTGTTCCAAAATTGTATGTTTGTGTCCCAAGATATTCGAAATCAGTTATTCTCTGAATATAGAAGATATTTGCAGAACCAGACACCGATAGTGTCGTCGTTGTGAGTGTATTGGGGACACACTACTGATTTTGGGACCAGACATATGGTATACATGTTTTTCCCATTAAACGTTTATTTATTTTTATTTTATTTATTTTTGCTGAAAACTCTTACTTATTTGGATTCAACCTTAAAAATGATGGTGGTGGTAGTTGTAATATTGATGGTTTGAATGATGTAGTAGAGGTGGTAGGGTTTGTGATGTAGGGTTTGTGATGGCGTGGTGGTAGGGTTAGAAAATGAATTTGCTCTCACCTATGTTCTAATTGGACTGAAATAGTGGATTTCATATCTAAATTGTGCATTGATTCCACTAAAATTTAAATTTTATAGTTTTTTATCAATAAAAAAAAGTGTATTATTTATCCACTCAAAGCGTAATAAATGATTATTTTTGGATGATCTAAATAAGTATATTTTTTTGACTTTTTATAAAATGTGGGTTGAGTGTTGATTGGGTTTGAACTTGAAGTAATGTAGAGAGGTGATACGACTTAAATAAAATGATATAATTTAAATATGACAGTAATTTTTTAATCTTTTAACTTTTTTAAATTATGACAAATAATTACACTTTGAGTTTTGTCAAATTTAAGCACGGTGAAATTTGAAGGAATGCATGGTCAACTATCTCAAAAACAAGCGTCTCCTTTGTTTGATATTTGATGATGCAAAAATGCTTAGACATCCTAAAAATTTTATTAAAAATTTTATCAAATGTTTTATATGGGCGTGGAACCCACATGGTATTCATATTGTGTGATTCCATCCCATGTGCGATATTTATTAAAACTTTTAATAAAATATTTGAAATTTCTAGCATTCCTCTTAATGATATGATTGAAACTCAAAAATATATACGTGCCTTTTATCAAATCCAAATTGCATAAAATATCTGACTTAAAAGAGTCTTGGCGGTAGTGGGACGGTAGCTGTGTGGTATGTCTCATTAATGTTTTTCACTTTGCTAAAAAAAACACATTAGAAAAACATTTTTTTTGTAGTTCTAAATATGAAAAATTATTTTATATGTTTAAAGATCAATCATATATAATCTAAGTTAGGGTAAGAGATACAAAAATGAGAGCCGCCACAATAAGGTATTAAGGCCTTGTTTGAAATACTCTACATTTGGAAAATTACATTGACCCCTTGTTCATTGTAAATTTTATTAAGTCATATCATCTTATTTAAATCAAATCACTTCTCTACTACATCACTTCAAATTCAATCTATACCTAATTCATATTTCACAAAAAGTCAAAAGGTGTATTTATTTAGATAATTTCAAATCATCCTTTAATATAAATTAAATAAATATATTTATTTAGAATTATTTTTTTATTTTTATATATATATTTTTTGTAAAATATAAAAAATATATATTTATTTAGATCCTTTTAAATAATCCTCAAATAACAAGCGGTACAGATAGGATCTCATTCACATAATGCGTATTCTGAATATTTTATTTATTGGGAAAAAAATGTTAATAAATTTATCTTGTGATATGTGGTTCAGATTTAAAATATTTTATTTACATAGAAAAGATAGAAATTCTAAAAAAAATGTTAATAAATTTATATAGTTCGAATTGAATTCTTATATAGTAAGACTTGTACTTATAATAAATTTAAATCACATAATTGCTTATTCTGAATATTTTTTACTGTGTGTTAACATATTTACTTTTTAATAATCAGGTGGTGAAAGGAGCAAACAGAAGGCTCTTGCCATTCCTGGGTAATCTCTTTCTCTCTGTAATTTGATTGGTCTGTTTGTTTGGGAAGTGAAGGAGGAGGGGAGACTAAATAGGGGTGTGTTTGGGGATGCAGATTGTGGAGGACTGTGCAAGGGAAGGTGTAGTGCGCACTCGAGGCCAAACGTGTGCAACAGGGCATGTGGCACGTGCTGCGTGAGGTGCAAGTGTGTGCCACCTGGAACATCAGGGAACAGAGAAATGTGTGGGAGTTGCTACACCGACATGACAACTCATGGAAACAAGACCAAGTGCCCTTAAAAATCAACTACTCAATCTCCCAGTGGACCCCATCTTATTATTAATTAAAATAATTACATAGTTAATTAGCCTTTCTGCTCTGCTAAACATTATATATATTAATCCTTTTAATTATGGTTTCGGTTGTGAGAAATTAAAATATATGTAGCTGTGTTCCTTGTAGTAGTTCTGTTTGTTTGTTCCAATAGTATATCATGTGATGTTTGTAGTCTTAACTACTGTGCCCAAGGATGTTTCGTCTTAATTTTTTTTTATTGTCTCAAATATGTACTTAAATCATTTGACGAAGTAAAAATCTAACTTGTGATTGTAAAAATCAACTAGCAATAAATACATGATCGTACTATCTAAATTTATTATTATTATTATATTTTTATTTTTTGAGAATAATCTTTTATCCAAAATTTAATTTATAAATAAAGTGCTCATGACTTGTTGGAATGACATCTCATAGGCCCAACAACATATTTTTGTTTTGGAAAGTTAATTAGAAGTTTTTTATTTTTTTTAAAAAAATATATATATAAAAAATAATGAGGTGATATAATTTAAAATAAATTAAAAATTAAAATTAATTTGTAATCAAGTTTTCAAAACAGCCCGTAATTTTAAAAATCTTAATGCCAAGATGATAGTTGCTATGGGGTGATCAAGGTGGTCCTTTTGTGGTATTGCATTTTTTGTAATTGGGCCAGCATTTTATCAGCCCAGTACAGCAAACTCCTTTTTGACATTGGTTTTGTTTGGCAAGGTTTTTTTTTTTTTATTTTTTTAATTTTATTTCTTGCTGTTTAGAATAAAATTTATAAACAGATAAAATAGATTATAATAATTAATTAGATAAAAATATTACAGTAAATTCATAATTATTTTTTTTTTCATAAACATTGCATGCCTTTTTTTTTGTCAATAAAGTCTTTAAACAATGAAGATTTCAAAATTAAACATATCTTTCATATTATTCTATTTTTAAATATAAATATTTTAGAAAATTCAAGTACTTAAAAATTTAAATAACTTACTAAAATAATTAATTTTTATAATAAAAATAATAATAAAAAAAATAAAAATGTTGTGGGTTAAAATATTTTATCTCAAAAATATTCTAAAAGTAAGATGTAAGATGTAAATTTCAAAGTGAAGAAAATATTTTATCTCAAAAATATTCTAAAAGTAAGATGTAAGATGTAAATTTCAAAGTGAAGAAAAGCAGGCCACACCCAAAGAACAATGACACATAAAATTTGGAACTCTAAGAGCATTCTCAGCAGATTTTTTAAAAATTTATCTTAGGTGGTGTTTGGCAAGTGGGTTGGGGCTAAAATAGCCACAAAAGACAAAACAGGCTATTTTAGCCACAACAAACAAAACATCACATCCAACCCATAATTATTACACTCTTCTCTCACAAAAAAAAGTCAAAAAGCCAAAAAGTCTTTCCCAAACCAAGCTTTTTAGCCCAGGCTAAAATAGCCAAAAAAGTCAAAAAGCCAAAAAGCCAACCCACTTTCCAAACGGAGGCTTAAAATATTATTAAAAATTTTATTTTCTATTTTACGAATTATTTTTTTATTTACTTTTCCAACAAACTTTTTATTCTTTCTCTATTTTATTAAAATATTATTTTTAAATATTTTATATTTTATCATATTTTTGGGAAGGAGGTGCTCCAGATCAATGATGATGATTGAATAAGAGTAATTTTTTATTTTATAGGGGTGAACAGCAGCTCTTTACAATTAGGATGCAACTGTAGCTCAACTTAAAATAGAGACTGGTTTAAGGGAATTGATGGAGTTGGTTTTATGAGAAAAAACCTCCTAAGATGGCTAAAAAATGAAAATAAGGGATTCAATGAAGATGCTCTAACAAGAGCTTTAATGAGGTGGCAAGGTAAAAATAAATAAAAAATAAAAGCTAAAACATCAAATTAATAGTTGGTTGATCCACCAGCAAATCAACCCTGGTTAGATCAATTTTTTCATAAACTCCCTAATCCATGGGATGAGTTATGCATTAAAACATATCCTGATTTTCTCAAAAAAATGGGAAGGAAGAATATGATAATCTTGGTTTTCGCCGCTACCACCACGATGACAATTACTTTTCTTTTCATTTTTTGTTTTTGTTTTTGTTTTATTTATTTATTTTTGTTTTTGTTTTTCTCACCATATGGTCAAAAATGTTGTGATAAAATTTTAAAAGAAAATTGAAAAATTAGTTGTAATACATTTCCTAAAAGAAAAGGATTTTCTAAAAAGCGTAGAAAATATAAATGGAAATTTTGGAAAAAGAACAAAACTTTTTCAAAAAAGAAAAAATATATTCGAAAAAAGAAACCAACAAGTGTTTCAAAAAAGAAAACTTGTAAATGTTACATTTGTAACGAAGAAGGTCACTATGCATCCGAATGCCCAAAACGGGAAAAAAGTGCAAAGAAAATGATCAAAGTCCTTGAAGAACAAGATTTTGAAATAATATATGGAGAAGAAATTTCTGATGAAGAAGAAATCTTATATGAAATTTCTAGTGATGAAGAAAGTTCAGATGAAGAACTAATCTTCATGATGACTAATAATAGTCAAGCAATATCTCAAGAAGCAGATAATATATCTCAAGAAGAATTGCAGGCAATTCGACTTGGAGATGTAATCGGAGAAACTTTTACCGACGAAGAATTAGCAAAATTTGAAAAAATGCAAGAAGTTGCTGTTCCAGAAATTTATAAACTTTCAAAATTTAACTTCTTTTCAGCAAGAGTGTTTGAACAATACAGTGGTAACACTCAAGCAAAATGGTCAGAAGAAGAAAATATTGATCTTCTTTTTTTTGATAAGAAAAAGGTTGCAAGATGGAAAAACAAATATCCTGAAATTCAATATATTCATATTGGATTAATTCAAGTAACCATAACAGCCTTATTTCGCCAAGGGATAGATACTCCTATTTTGACAGTAATTTTTGACAAAAGATTTTCCGACCCAATGAAAACAATCATTGGAGGAATTCAATCTAATTTGGCTAATGGAGTAGTTTGGTTTAATGTTAGACCAAATTTTTTTATTTCCATAAATGATCCTAATCTTGAAGATACAGTCATAATAAGAATTAAAACACAAGGATTAGGAATGAAATCAAATTCTTATGATTTGGCTATTCGTTAGAAAACAATTCGCGAATTAACCAAATTTCCTGAAACAAAAACAAGATCAAACGATAATAAAATTGTTGAGATCTTTGAACCAAGACCATTTGACACGGTAATACAACCTCGTCTAATGAATTGGAATGATTTAGAAGTCCCTCGACAATGGTTAATCCAAGACCTAGTGGGACAAGGAGAATTTTTTAAAATAAAAAAACCTGCACAATTACAAATGCAGGCATCAGGAAAAAATTTATATATTGAAAATACAGTTCCAAAAATTAAACGATCAACTTCTGTATTTGAAAAAGATTTTTCTAACAAATCATTTTCAAAGTTAAGCATTGGAAAATCAAGTAATAATTCTAATCAAGAATCTATTACTTCAAACAATGTTCAGATTCCTATTTTTCAGAACAAGAAAACTTGAACACATTAAGTCCGCATATATGTATCATTTCAAACACAAATAGATGATATTATTTTTTCTCCTAGCCAAGGAAAAAGAAAGATATACATATGTATTCGGGAACATTTAATTTTGCAGGTTATAAACCCTATAGCCTCAAGTGTTCTCATAGATACACGGAGCTACAGTCAGCTCATGTAAATGGAATGCCCATAACCAAAAGAAAATGGACATTAATGAAACATCCAATTTTAGTTACCGGAAATAGATGGCAACTCATCACTTCCATACAATTCAAGGCTAAAAATATAGCGATTTGGTTAAATGATAGCAAATTCATTATATACAAAAATTTTATGTTTTCCGATATGCGTGGAGATTCCTTCTTGGCAATAAATTTTATATATAAATACCTTCCAATGCAAATACAGGAAAAGGCTATTTCATTAAGCATAAACAATGTCTTAATTCATATTCCCTTGTTAGAACAACATAAATACATTTGTGATAAAGAGTTTGCGCCCGTGCCGCGTGGTGATTTAACTCCCATCATCAAAACTATTGATGAATCACATTGGATTTATAAAATTTTAGAAGAAAATTTTGGTGAACATCCATTAAAACTATGGCAACGTAGTCCACGTTATTGTAGTTTAAAATTGAAAGACCCTAATGTTATCATTAGAGTAAGACCGATGATCTATACTAGACAAGATATAGATGAATTTGATATTCAACTCCAGGAACTTTTAGACAAAAAGTTAATTGAAGAAACTAAAAGTCCTCACTCTAGTCCAGCTTTTATGGTAAGAAACCATTCTGAAATTAAAAAAGGAAAAGCCCGAATGGTAGTCAACTATAAACGGCTAAATGAAAATTTAGAATTTGATGGATATTTTATTCCACGAAAAGATGTTTTGATTAACTTAACAAAAGGATCAAAAATCTTTAGCAAATTTGATTGTAAAAGTGGATTTTGGCAAATTCAATTGACTGAAGAGTCAAAAAACTTGACAGCTTTCAATACACCTAGAGGACATTACCACTAGAATGTTATGCCCTTTGGGTTAAATATTGCACCACAGGTATTTCAGCGGTGGATGGATACAATTTTTAAGGATCTTAAAGACTGTTGTGTAGTTTATATTGATGATATACTTATCTTCTCTAAAACCAAGGAGGAGCATAAGAAACATTTAAAATTACTTTGTGAAAGATTCCAAAAACATGGAATTATTTTGTCTCCAAAAAAGATTGAATTAGAAAAAGAATCAATTGAATTTTTGGGAATAATTTTAGATCAAAAAAGTTTAAAATTACAAGAACATATTTTGTCCAAAGTACGAGATTTTTCTAATACTCTTGAAAATATAACACAATTACAGAGTCTATTAGGCATTTTAAATTATGGACGAGATTTTATTAAAAATCTTTCAAAAATAGAAATTCCTTGGTTAACCAAATTAAGGAAAAATGTTATTTTTGAATGGACAGCAGAAGATGTTGTTTTAATTAAACAAATTAAAGAATATGTTAAAACTTTACCAGATGTTTATCTTCCTAAAACAGGTGATAAATTAATTTTAGAAACAGATGCCTCAGAAGCATGCTGGGGATGTGTTCTTAAAGCAATACCAAGTAATTTATGGTACGATAAAGAGATACCT